ATGTTGTGGCACATGCGAGGGATGAGCCTGGCCAGGAAAATAAGAGACTCCCAGTCAATCTGGTCTTTACTGGAGATCCCACACACGTAGCTGTAGGAACGACAGTCACCCTGAAACAGAAATAAAGTCCATTGCTTTTAATGCCTTTACTGAATGTAAAAGATGGGCTGGAAAGTATTTTGTGCACAGTGACACCATTAAGAGTAATTTTTTGTCTTTATGAACAGAAACGTAGTGTTTGAATAAAAATAGACACTGGCTAGTCCTTCTCCAATGATATAAATGAATCCCAAATTAAATCTTACCAAACTGGTTCAGACATAAAGAAAGTGTCGTGATAAATTCAAGAGTTTATTTACTATATGCCAGAAGCCCACTGAAGCTTCATTCCTAATACCTGCCCAATGGGAGACAGCCAGCGGACCTGATTCAGCAGACAAGATCTGCCCATATTTATTGTGTGGAGAAAGGATTCTTAACTGGGGGACTGGAAAATAATTTTATAAACATTTACTTACCAATTTATTTAAAAGTGAGCTAAAAAACTAATTTAAAAATAAGTTAATAAAAGTGGTAAAAATATTGTTTAATCCTATAGATTTATTTCAATAAGCCCAGATAAAAATCATAATTAGTATAGCAGTGAAGTTTATTTTCTTAATACCAAAGTAAACCGTACTTGTAAAAAAAAAAAAAAAAAAAAAAAAAACCAAAATGCATTACATTTAAAAAGAAAATCTGCTTATTAAAGTAATCAAACTAAACTTAAAAGCAATTTAAAAAGTAACAGTCATTTAACTACCTAGAATGTCAGGTACTGAGAATATGGTAATTCAGAGTATTTGAATACAAATTTAATACTGTCTATCAATATTTTAAATGTGCATCCTCTTTAATCCAGGAAAATCATCCTACAGAAATACATGAGTAACTGCTCAAAAAAAGAGGATATCCTTGCTGAAAGGCCTGTAATGATGAAAAATCTGGAATGGTTCAGCAAATAACGGCATAGCCAGAAGTGGAAGATGGTGATGCAGCAGTTAAAAACAACAGTTTAAGCAAGGAGAATGAAGAGAGCAGGATACAAGGAAAAGGTTAGTCCAAAGGACTAAGGGACCACAGCTACCAAGGCCTCCACCAGACTGAGTCCAGTACAGCTAGATGGTGCCTGGCTACCACCACTGACTGCTCTGACCAGGATCACAACAGAGGGTCCTGGACAGAGCTGGAGAAGGATGTAGAACAAAATTCTAACACACACAAAAAAGACAAGATTTACTGGCCTGGCCATACTCTGGAGAAACCCTGAAAGTATGGCCCCCAGACACCCTTTTAGCTCTGTGGTAAAGCCACTCCGAGGTTCACCGTTCAGCCGGGGAATGGACAGCTCCATAAAACAAAATGGGACTAATGAGGCACAGCAGTCCAGGGACAAGGACTAGAAGGCAGAAGGCGACAGGCAAGCTGGTGATAGGGAACCCAAGGTTGAGTAAGGACAGTGTTGACATGTAGTGGGGTTCTTAACCATTGTCATAGAGCAATATGTGTACTAACTGTTTACTGAGAAACTATTTTGTTCTGTAAACCTTCATCTAAAGTGAGAATAGCAGCACAACTGGAAGAATGTAATCGATGTCACTGAATTGGACAAGTAGAAATTTTTGAAGTGGTGTATCTTCGGCTATGTGCATTATCACCAAAAAAAAAAAAAGTCCTCCAAGGTCAAGAAGGTAGAGTGTTGACATGTCGTGGGGTTGTTAATCAATGTCATAAAACAATATGCGTACTGACTGTTCAATGAGAAACTATTTGTTCTGTAAACCTTCACCTGAAGTACAATTTAAAAAAATTAAAAAAAAAAAACAACAACAGTCTACTTGTAATGGTGTGGGAAAAATAAGATGTTTACAATTTTCAGTTAAAACAAAAACGGTGTGCATCTATTCTCAACCTGCTTTTGTTTCTTTTTAAAATAAGTGTTTCCGGAGGCACACACATAAAACTTAACTAGAGACAAAGAACAGGCGGAATTACTTTTTAGATGTAATGCATTTTGATTTTTTTTTTTTTTAACACGTACAGTTTACTCTGGTATTAAGAAATTAAACTTCACTGCTATACTAGTTATGATTTTTATCTGGGTTTGGAAGGGTCTCAGCTTCAAAGGCCAGAGACACTAAAGTTAGGTATCGCACAACGAAAGAAACTTTTATTTTGGTGGGAAGAGTAGTGGAGTCTGAATATGTTCCATTTTTAAAAAAGAAATCACAGGTCCAACAAATTATATTACCTTAAACAACAATTTATAAGAGGCATTATGTGTTAACACTTCATTCAGGGGAGGGGGAGCTAGTTTAATTCAGTTCTGTGCCTAGGAGTTAGCATACACAGTTGGAAGTTCTCTATAATAGATCTACTTACGATTAAGAAAACTTTTAAAAGTAAAATAATCTGTCTGCATGTCTATTTTTATATAGTAGGGTAATATCTAAGGAGCTCTGGTGGCATGATGGTTAAAAGCTCAGCCGCTAACCAAAAGGTTGGCGATTCAAACCCACCAGCCGCTCCTCGGGAGAAGATGTGGCAGTCTGCGCTTGTAAAAGTGACAGCCTTAGAAACCCTATGGGGCAGTTCTACTCGGTCCTACAGGGCTGCTATGAGTCGGAATTGACTTAACGGCAAACGACAGGAAGGTAGTATCTGTCTGTAAATATCACAGCAAATATCAAAATGAATGTATATGATAAATGAGATTACTCAAAACCACTGAGGAAAAAAATATTTCTACAGTTCTAAGAAGAGTTACTTCAGTAGTGATTTGAAAGCAGCTTAGCACATGACACTGTACCCAGCCTTGAAAAGAAGGCACGGATGAGTTCTGTAACCAAAACAGCTGGCGTTATCGTTTTCATGAACTAAAACATTTTAGGTTTGTTTAATCTTGTTTTGTTTACGGACAGATCTACATACATTCAGGAAAAAGGAATTTAAACTGCACAACTCTGATTCATACATTTAGGAAAATAAGCTTATTTAAGTTTTAAGCTTTTAAAAAAGGAACGTTACTTTCCATATATGATTCCACTTTAAGAGGCCACTAGAAATATATCATACCACTTTGAGTTGAATTATATCTTTCCTAGTTTCCATTTAACTATAAGCTCTAAATAACAGAAAAGAAACCCTAGTCTTCTCTACCCTCCCAAGCTTTTTTCCCCAGAAACTCATTTGAGGATCATATAAACAAAAGAGAACTTAATGTAATCATTTTATGAACAGCATTTCGAAAGTGAGAACTACATCACTCCCACATGCTTCTACAATTGGAAAGGCAGAGGTATAAATACAAACATGTTGGTTAGACATCATCGCAGCTAAGAGAAAGAACATATTGCAGAAGCAGAGAACACTGGTGTAGGGAACACATAAGCTGAGAACAAACCCTAAATGGTCTAACATCTTCATCTGGCGGCTTTTCTGCAGTTACAGACTTCTAAAGCCACAGTGTATTTCACAGATAGAAGATAAATGAAGACATGCTTTCATGGTACCTGCCCCTCCCAGCGGAAGCCAGCCAGCCAACCCTACAGCAAATGGTTCTTTTAATTTTTACTTCTGGTTAGAGTTGACGTATGTTCCAAAACTACAAAATCTCAGCCTGAATATTTAGTTCCTGTAACCTTATTAACTCCATCAACATTCTAGAAAATAGTGCCTTCTTACTTTTCTAAACTTGATGTATACACGTTCATATTTCACTTTGCTACATCAGCCACTTCCAGCCTGTCATTCCTATCTCAGTATCAGTAGAAAGAAGCAAAGCACGAAATGTTGTCACAGGTCAGTGACTACACACAACTCACCTGCACACCCACGGTTTTAATTGGCAGCAGGAAGGCATTCAGGGAATGCAGGCTGGTAATCTGCATCAGCTTCTCCTGATCCTCTTCTGTTGTACAGGCTTTGACTCTCTGTAGCAAAGTATGTGGCTGAGAAAACCAGAGATGTTTCTTCAGGTTTCCAGAAATGAGGCATTCACTCTTTTCATATCTATTAACTACGTACCTTATGCGTCTACACTCACTGGTGTATAGCAGTAGATCCTACTTCATACCTACTTGATTTGTACGTGCTATGCAGTATACCAGAAATTCATTCATGAGGGCTAGGGCTGTGAAGCAGTTAGAAAATCTCAGGATAAGAACTACAGATTAGATTCACATACATCCAGGCTTTAATCCTCTGTCACCAGCAACATGATCCCTCATCTGAATCAAACCCTCTCCTTATCTCCAATAATACTCTGGGTCACAGAGTCAATTTTGTCTGAAACCAATACAGATCCACCAACTTCTCTTTCTGGTTTCTCATCAGCCTAGTATGTTTTATCATTCTTTTACTTTCACTCTATAGGGAGGCATTGGGAATGTCTCTTGTAAACAGAATGTTTTATTTTTTAACTTAGTTGGACAATCTATATCTTAACTGGAGAGATTAGTCATTTTAATTAATTTTGGGTTAATAATATGGCTGAATTTCATTCTACTGTCTTACTCCATACTTTCTATTTGCCTCACTTTTTATGACTTATTCCTTGACGTATTCTGGATTGATGAATTCCCTCAGCTCACTTCTTTCTCCTTTACTGGGTCTGACGTTAAACTGTTTGTCTTTTAGTAGTTCCCGTTTAGTATTAACATGCATACTTAACACAAGAGACTTGATGTCTGTCCTCCCTGCAAACAGTAAAAGCATCTTTGAATACCTGAACTCCAATCAGCCACCTTTTTGGCTTATGTGCTATTTTGGCTATACCTAGTTATATATTTTTAAATAAATACCAAATATTAGAGGTATAAAACATTTCTACTATTTTATACAGTCCATGTTTGTTTCCATTTTACCCATGTGTCATTTTACATTTCTTGTATCTCAGATCTTCCTCCTGTGATCTTTTTGCTGCTCCTTCCTTAAGTCAATCCTTTAAAACAGTGGTTCTCAACCCTAGCTGCATACTCACATTACCTGGGATGCTCAGATCCCACCCCAGACTAATGAAATAATTTCTGAGGAAACGGGACCCAGGCGCAGTAGACTTCAGAAGATGCCCAAATGATTCTAATACACAGTCAGGCTGAGAACCACTGCTTTTAGTTCCTTAAGGAAGGGACTGTTGGCTGTAAATGCTGTTTGTCTGAAAATGTCTTTATTTGGCACCCTAGCTCATAAAAGAAAGTTTAGTTAGAAATCTAACAGCAGTTGACAATTATTTTCTCTTAGCATCGTGAAGTCTTGCTGCATTTACTGCTGCTTTCAGAGCTACCAGACATTCCTTCTGGGTAATGGATCTTTCTTTTATGACTGCTCTGCCTCTGGCAGTTGGCAGCTTCACTGAGGTACGCCTGCTAGGCCTCTAATTTATTTCCTTTATCCTGCTTGGGATGTGTTATGTTTCCCGTTTGAAGACACTCAAATACAGTAGAGTCAACTTTCTCATTCTATCCTCTGCCTCCATGACTCCTAACCTCTTCTATCCATATTTTCTCTTTGATGCTTTGCTCCAATTTCTAGATAATTTCTTTACATCTGTCTTCCAGTTCACTAATTCTTTACTGGTTTTTAATTTCTAGCTGTTTTCATCTTTAAGACTCAACTGTTTTCTTTTTCAAATCTGCCTGGTCATTTAGTCTCTTACACTTTATTCTTATTATCAATAGCTTCTTTTATTTCTATTCATTTTACATCCTCTATCTGCTAATTCCAGTATCTGAAGTCTTTGAAGGTGTGGTTCTGCTACTGTTTCTACTAACTCTCATTCATGGTATAGTAAATCTATACTTGTTCTGTAATTTTTTTATTGTAAGTTCATATTTGTGAGAACTCTTATGAAAATTCTTTGTGGCCAGATGAAGATACTCCAGAGAAAATTTACACTGCTTCTTTCCTGACTCTTGCAGAAGCACTATCAACCCAGGTCCTTTAAATTAAAATTCTTAGCCTACAGTTTTTTCGGATCATACAGATTATGAATTTAGGCCCCAAATCACAGAAGGAGTGGGAGACTTTTCCACTCAACCTCGATTTGGAGCCAAGGTGGTGCTGAGTGTGAAGATCTCTGATCCAGGCCCAACCCTTCAGGGACCTGAAGTCTCATGTTCAGACACCTGTCATGAACTGAATGGTTCAAACCAAGGTTCTCGACCACAGAGGATTAGCACTTGCCCTCAGAAGAGCAGACGGCTTTAGCTCCCAATTCGTTTCTGGCTTAAAACATTCCCTTACTTTCTTGCAATACATACGGAAAGTGTTTTAAAATACTTTACCGAGCTTTTTGAGGTAATTCAGGATATACTGTCTGTTACATGACTGGAAAATAGACATTAGTATTTAAGAGTCTGTTAACTACTTTCATGACAGTCATTTCAAAAGTTAAATTTTCTGAATTTTCAAATAATGAAACCCTAACAAATTCACTGTAAATACTTGCATAAAACAAGAATCCATTCAGTATTTTAGACTAGCCATGTCTTTTTATAACTTCTATAATGTATAAATTCATGCAAAGCATAACCTTTTTAACACTTGCAGAAAAATCAGCTACGATTTTCAAAATATTGTTGGTTTCGGGAAAGTCCTTACAAATATAAGGTTCTTCGGCACAGATTACTCTGATTGCCAGGCCAGGACCTAAAGATAAGAGTAACAATGGTACTTAACGCAGTTACATTTAACTTAAAATTTAAACACAAAAATGCCAATATTTCCAAAATATGAAATCCTTCCAAAATTAAAATCCATCTGCCATCATAGTTAATAAAGTTTCTTAATGTGTTTAATTTTGAATGTAGCTATTAGTTTCCCACCCAACTCAACATTTTCTAGAATGCTTCCATTCTATCAGCATCACTGATTTCTATCTCCTGCTTTTGATAGCACATGTCTTATCACAAAATTCTCCAATCAGTATCTGTAATTCACAATATGTGCCTATCTAAAAGTTTTTATTAAGGAAATTCTCAAACATACATAAAAGTAAAGAGAACAGTATAACTAACCACCTTATATCCATCACCCAGCTTATAACCATCAACCTAATTTTAGGAAAAGTAGTACGCTGTTTAAAAAAAAAGAAATCAGAAAATAATAAAAGGGTGTTTTAATTTCAAAAGATGTGAACTAGTATTTCTACTTTACCAAATAATTAAAACAATAAAAACAGGAAGTATGCATGCATCCAAGAAAAACTGGATTCTGCTGCTTTACTAGAACAATAGAAAAGACACATTTACTACTGTAATAAAAATATCACTGGAGATGCCTGGATTATAGATAAAATTCTAGCCATGTCCATTAATTCCTGTCTTATTCCGCATCTTTAGAATAAACAACTTACTTAAGACAGTTTGCCTAATTTATTTTTAAAGCAGCAAACCCTTTTTGACAAAGAAATCTCACATGATAAAAAAACTTGACAAAAAATAAAATCAAGTCTAGCTGAAGTGAGGATTGAGCACCTAGAACTACTTGGCCTCCCTCCATTACATGTACAGACCATCCCTTTGCCAACACACAGGTTAGGGATTGATCTTACATTACTAGATTTGAAGTTTACTGACACAGACAAGTGCCCATCACCACATGGGTTACACACTGATAACAGAATATGGAGGCAGTTACGGTGGTGAAGAGTACAAGCTCTGAGGTGAGATTACTGGGCCCTGAATCCTGGCTCCACAACATCTAAGCTGCATAACTTTTGGCAAATTTTCACCTCAGAGCCTAAGTGTTCTCATCTGTAAAAGCAGGGTAACAGCTCTTTCATTGTGAGGATAAAATAAGACAACATATGTAAAATGTTTAGCAACATGTCTAGCACGTAGCAAGTACTCAAGAAATGTTAGCTATTACTGTTTTTTACTTTAATTATCCATTCTCTCAACTCATGACCTAATTACTATTGTAGAGAGCTAAAACTTGAAGGGTAAGACTTGCCCAACAAAAACATGGTTTTGATCAGACTGGACTGTGGGACATAAAATGATACTCAAAGAGTCTGCTTCTTCTTAGCTCAAGTAGATACATGAGACTAAATGGGCAGCTTCTGTCAGAAGGGGATATGAGAAGGCAGAGAGGGTCAGGAGCTGGTTGAATGGACATGGGAAATCAGGGGTGGAGAGGAGGAGTGTGCTGTCACAGTATAGGGAGAGCAATTAGGGTCACATAACAATGTATGTATAAATTTCTGTATGAGAGACTAACTTCAAACGTAAACTTTCACTTAAAGTACAACAATAAACAACAACAACAACAAAAACAAAAAAACACGGTTTCTGTGGGACTCTTCGTCCAAACTTTAAACAAATACTGCCTCTACTTGGTTTTCTAAGTGACAACAGGTGGCTATTTAAATTGAGTATCTTCCCTCTATTTACTCACAAATTACATACAACATTGTGCAAGGAGTGGTTCATTACGTTGCACAAGTCAGTCGTATGATACGAAGTTCAAAGAATAAAGCTTTAATAATTATTTCTTCCACAGAATGTATCACAGGACAGTAGAAAGAACATGCAATTCTTAGCTCTACCACTAAGAAATGTATGACAATATTATTAAAATGCCTTGGTTTTCTCATCTGATGAGAATGCTATATATACTACACTCCCAGGGATGGTTTAATATCTAAATACAAATTCCATGGAAAATGACTTTTACACAAACCAAAAATCAAACTCATTGCCGTTGAGTCGATTCCAACTCATAGCAACCCTACAGGACAGAGTAGACCTGCCCCATAGGGTTTCCAAGGAGCAGCTGGTAGATTCAAACTGCTAACCTTTTGGTTAGTAGCTGAGCTCTTAACCACAGTGCCACCAGGGCTCCAAGTAAAGTATATACAGTAGGCACTAAAAAGAATGTTTATTCCTCACCCACCCTCTCTTTCCTCTCATGTTACATATCTTCCTGAGATGACAAACCACTTCTAATCTGTCTGCACCAGTTTTTCTTCAACATGAAGTCATACGACAATCAAACGGAACTCATTCATATCCCTTACCTGGAAATGGATGTCTGGAAACTAACTCCTCTGGAAGTCCCAGCTCTCTGCCTAAAGTCCTCACTTCATCTTTATGAAAGTCTTTCAGAGGCTCTATTACTTTTCCCTACCAGGAGAAAAAACCCCATCAATACAAATTTGTAGCCAACATGACATAGAAAACAAAGCATAATAAATTATTGGCTTTTCCTATTGTCTCTTTCCTTGGATAAAAACAAGAGAAAAAAATGACCGATTGCTTCAACTAAACAGTTTATTTTCAAAATAAAGACCAATACATTGCCGAAATGTAAACATAGCCACTGCAATCTCAGAATACCCTTAGAACTTCACATAGCACCAAAATAGTGTTTATTAAGAAATGTAAGAATAATAAGAGCAATTTCTATGACAGAGTAGAAAAAAGTAGCAGTAAAATGTATCTTTTAAAGTATTTTCTCTGATGTGGTTATGAGGAATTAGACAAATATTTTATTGGTCTTCTTTTCTCTTTAAAACATATTTTAAATATAACAGACCAGAGCAAACTTACCCCGTTATGGACTGAACTGTGTCCCACAAAAATATGTGCTGTAAATCCTAACCTCTATGCCTGTGGTGGAAACCCTGGTGGCATAATGGTTAAGTGCTACGGCTGCTAACCAAAAGGGCAGCAGTTCAAATCCACCAGGCGCTCCCTGGAAAACTCTACGGACAGTTCTACTCTGTCCTATAGGATCGCTATGAGTCGGAATCGAGTCAACGCAACGGGTTTTTTACGGGTTATGCCTGTGGTTATAATCCCACTTGGGAATGAGTTGTCCGTATTATGTTAATGAGGCAGGGTTAGTGTGGGGTATGTCTTGAATCAATCTCTTTTGAGATATAAAAGAGATTAAAAAAGCAAGCAAGGAAGCAGAGATAGGGGAAGAGAGATGCCAAGCCATATGAAGATCACCCAGGAGCAGAAGCTCAGAAGAGACAAAGACCTTCCTCCAGGGCTGACAGAAAGAGAAAGCCTTCCCCTAGAGCTGGTGCCCTGAATTTGGACTTCAAGCCTCCTAAACTATGAAAAAATAAATTTGTTTGTTAAAGCCATCCATTTGTGGTGTTTTGGTTACAGCAGCGCTAGATAACTAAGACACCCGCCTTCTCTGATCTAGTTTCCATTAGAACACAAGGCAACGAGAAAATATCATATTAGTGTTTCAGAATTAAAACTCTCCAAATGATACCATCAAGAAAGTGAAAAGACAAACCACAGAATGGGAGAAAATATTCGCATATTACATATCTGATAAGGAACTTGTAACCAGGATACATAAGGACTACTACAACTCAATAATAAAAAGCTAAATAAGCCAATTTAAAAACAGGGCAAATGATCTAAATAGACATTCTCCAAGAAGATACACGAGTGGCCAATAGGCACATAAAGCTGCTAAACATTATTAGCCAACAGAGAAATCAAAATCACGATGAGATAACACTTCACGTGCACTAGGATAACTTAAAAAAAAAAAAAACAGGTAATAACAAGAGTTGGTGAAGATGTGGGAAGACTAGAATCCTCATACACTGCTTACAGAAATGTAAAATGGTGCAGCCATTTTGGAAACTGTTTGGCAGTTCATCAAAATGTTAAAACACAGAATTACCCTATGACTCAGCAGTTCAGTTTGTAAGTATATACCCCAAAGAAATGAAAACATACATCCACAAAAGCTTGTAACAAATGTTCATAGCAGCATTACTAATAGCCAGAAAGTGGCAACAATCCAAATGTCCCTCAGCTGATGAACGGATAAATAAAAGGCGGTGTATCCCTACCATGGAATATTATTCGGCAACAGAAAGTATTAAAGCACTGATACATGCCACAACATGGATGACCCTTAAAAACATTACACTAAGTGAAAGCAGCCGCCAATCACAAAAAAACCACACACCACAGAATTCCATCTCTATGACTTGTCCAGAATAGGCAAATCTACAGACGGACAGTGGGGTGACGAAAATGTTCTAAAATGAGACTGTGGTGACCAGTGCACAATCCTGTGAATATACTGAAAACCACTGAATCGTACACTTTAAATGGGTGAACCGAATTTTGGAGGAATAAAAGCTGTTAGAAGGAAGGGAAGTTGGGAGGGACGGGGAAAGAAGGGAAACTATCCGTCTATCAACATTCTGGAAAAGCTCTCATTGTAAGTCTTTACCTCTTCTCTCAACTTTCTGATAAGCTCTGTGTCGTTGTGATGGGTTTTGATGAGTTCGGCTTTGCCACTGGCCACAAGGGATGCACTTTCAATGAGATCAGGCCGCAAGGTGCCCTGGGCAAGAAAAACTTCCTCTGGTTTCAGGTTCATTTCTCCAATTACTTCATTGGCGACCTGTAACCAAGGAGAGTAAAACAGCCTTTAACAATGAATCTTAAAGGAAAGCAGCAACATGTTATACTTCGAGCTAAATTTCTAAGAGCCTTTTTGTAATCTGACCAGGAGATGAGATCCACCAGCCCCTAAAATAAGCTCCTTTAGGAACATGGGCTCTAACATGACTCAAAAAGGTATGCAAACATCCCTTCGACAGTGACAGCGTCAAATCCAGCCATTGAAATACTCAAGGATTAAAGTCCAAAATCAACTGAAAACACCTATTCTTGAACAGTTAGAACAACAACAGCCTGCAACATAAGTATATGGGTTTTTTGCTTAAACATAAAACAGTTTCTACTGATCGATATTACAGCAGTAAACAATAAAACTCTCACCCCCTCCCCCCAAAAAAGAATCAAGATTCGTTAGAAGATTTGGTTATTTGCTGTAACGACCAGGAGAAACAAATACTAAAATTCTCATAAAAAATAGTGCACACTGAAGATATTAAGAAGAAAGACACCTTAACGAAAGTATCCCCAATGATTTTTCTTTTCTCCTCGGGACTTGTAGTCATATTTAACGTTTTGCTAATCCTTTTCCGTGGGGTTCTGTCTTCATCTGATATTGGCAGAGTTGTTGTTCCATTGTAGAAAGAATGAGCAGCATTTATTACTGAGGGAGAAGGGAAAAATGCACGTGTTAAATTACTAAGATAAATCACAGAGAACAGGTCAAGCTAGAGAAAGAAAATCTAAGTAAATCCTTTGATCTCCCCTCAGTTTGCCTACATATTCCAGAACTACCTGTAAACCATAATCCAGAGATTCCAGATTTGGGCATTCATGAAACTTTGTTCTTTTAAGAATCCCATTGCATTCAATGATCAAAGGCAATGAAATCACAGAGTATGCTGGCTGCTTCTCCTCTGGTCAGCGCTCCACAAGTGCAACAAAAAAAGTCACAACTGCTCTGACAGGGATCACAACAGAGGGTCCTGGACAGAGTGGGAGAAAAATGTAGAACAAAAGTCTAACTCACAAAAAAAGACCAGAGTTACTGGCCTGACAGAGACTGGAGAAGCCTCCAGAGTATGGCCCTCGGACACCCTTTACATCAGTAATGAAGTCACTCCCAAGGTTCACCCTTCAGCCAAAAACTAGACAGCCCCATAAAACAAAATGAGACTAACGGGACACAACACCCCAGGGGCAAGGACTAGAAAGCAAGAGGGTATAGGAAAGCCAGTAATAGGGAACCCAAGTTCGAGAGGGGAGAGTGTTGACATGTTGTGGGGTTGTTAACCAATCTCATAAAACAATATGTGTACTGTTCAATGAGAAACTATTTGTTCTGTAAACCTTCATCTAAAGCACAATAAAATTAAAAAAAATAAACCAAGAAAAAAGTCTCAAGAAGCACAGCCCCAGGGATTGGAAAGCAATGGTTCACACACAGGGTTATCAGAGTCCTCCTGCAAACTGCACGCTGACTAGCCTCTTGAAGGGCTGATGTTTATGAACATGAATCTAGCCATCCTTGGCTGTCCTTTTATACATAATCTGACCCAAATCTCCAATTGGTAGTGAAGTTCAACAATTGGTGGGCTTCGCCATAAGATGTCAAGACAGCTGGCTATTTCACTGGGGGACTCCAATGAATTTGTAGGTTTTTCTCTTATGCTGGTCAATTACCCCAGAGAAAATACTTCCAATCTCCTGCTTAGCAATCTGGTAACCGAACAGAAAGAGTGTGTGAGTGTGTGCGTGTGTGTGTGTGCGCGCGCGCACTGGACGTGGTTAAGAGGCTCAATTATTACTTAACGCTACTATTCTGAATGCAGAACCTTACCCTGCCCTCAACTGGGCCTGGCACTGGTTTGCTAAGTCTAGGGCCTCACTTTTGGCCTCTCTAGAGAACAGACCTACAGTCTTCTACTGGGGAGGGATAGTTTGTTCCCATGTTATGGAAAAGATCTGTTTCTCAGATTTTCAACAAATTCCTGTTTCAGGCTCCCTCACAGACCCCTGCCCCAAAAGGAACCCAATGCTTCCAATTCCTGAGCCTTCCTAGAATTCTGCAGCACAAATCAGCTTGCTCTTTGTGAACTTTACCCAACAAGGTTTCAGCTTCCTCCATTCTATCATGTCAGTTACCAGGGACAGATCTAGGTGTTTATAGGGCCTGAAACTTTGCCAATGTGGAGGCCTACTTCAACAAAAAAAGCATATTAGGAATTTTAAAAATCACAAGTTACAGTGGAATGGCTAACTGCAAATCACATATACACCACTAAACCCAAACTCAATGCATCCGCAACTCAACGTTTTCTTAGCCTGATCCCTGCAATGCCCACAGCCACCCCAACGCCACTGAGACGTTTACTAACGACCTTTAAAAAAAGGGACGACATACTCTTCACCACCCTTCTCTGTATAAGCCCTTCTGTTTGCAAAACCATCTGTGTACCTACTATACTTGTTACAGGAAGGCCTGTGTATTCTCCTGCAAAAATAATACCATGGAATAGGGTTGTTGTGGTTGTTAGGCGCTGACAAGTCAGTTCTGACTCCTGGTGATCCTACAGAACGGAGCACAACTGCCCCCTAGGGTTTCCAAGGGGCGGTTGGTGGATTTGAACTGCCGACCTTTTGGTTAGCAGCCAAGCTCTTAACCACTGCGCCACCAGGGCTCCATGGAATAAGGTAGGAAAAAATAATTTAAAAAAGAATGACTAGAGGAGAACAGAATGGTAGCTGAAAAATGAAAACGTACTGATCTAATTAAAAAAAAAAACTGCCATCAAGTCAATTCCGATTCATGGCAGCCCCATGTGTGCCAGAGTAGAACTGTGCTCCACAGGGTTTTCAATGGCTGATTTTTCAGAGGTAGATCACCTGGGCTTTCTCTTCCAAAGTACCTCTGGACAGGCGCAAACCTCCACCTTCTGGTTAGCCGCCAACCACGTTAACCATCTGTACCACCCAGGGACTCCAAAGGATAACATCAGCAGTGACCAAAAATGTCAGCATCTATACTGGGACTCCTCTTGAGGCAAAAGTCATTTTAATGTATATATAAAAAAAAATTTCAACCTTTAGCCTACTGTGAAACAATGACTGATCAAGGGAATTGTGCTCAATCGAACAAGTCCTGACACGCAAATTCACTTTCCTCAAGTTCATCAATACCTTTGACCTGAATGCCAAGCTTTTTGAGGGCTTCTTCTACAGACTGGCTTTCTCGTTTTCTCATGAAGCCATTGTCAATGTGCACAGCAATAACTTGATCTTGGTTCAAAGCACGATTCAGCAAAGCTGTACAAACCGTTGAGTCTACTCCACCACTGAGTAACACCTACAGAGTGAAATCAAAAGAAAAATCAATTGAACAGAATAAACAAAAAGGGAATTAAAAACTATTAAACTGTTTCCTAAAAGCATTGTTTGTATCAAAGGTATATCTGGTAACCAAAAAAGCACTCTGAAACAGTCCAACTCACCAGTAAACATTTACGGGCTGTGTTAAAGAACCCGGCTCTGCGTTCTAACATTACTGACGTAAATTTATAAACCTCCAGACAACAAACTGCTTACCAAAACTTTTGATGTGCCTACTCTGTCTTTGATCTCTCGAATGCACTCAAGCTCCCTGTTCTGCACGGTGAAGGTCCCACTGCACCCTGTTATGTCATAGAGGAAGTTCTTCAGTATTACTTTCCCATTTTCTGTAAGGCCAACTTCAGGATGGAACTGTACTCCATATAATTTTTTAGTTTCATTTGCTATACCTTTACAGAGAAAATAATAGAAAAATTAAAAAATTTCATTTTGAAAACACTGAATGAAAAATCCCAATGATTACTCATAACTTTCTTCCCCTATAAACGTTAAAATTGATACAGTAGTGGATTTCTAGTCACAGGAAAAAAGACAGATAATACAAAAGGGCATTGCCATAACCTTTCTTTGTAAAGGTTTTTTTTAACATAGCGATTAATGAGCTGTAAGACAGTGCGTTAAACCCCACTGAGCGATTATTTCACAGAACGCTCACTTCTTCTCCACCCAGGCTGCCTCAAGGGCCTTTTCTACCAAATGCAATGAGAACCCAATTTGGGTTCTCAGGTTCCACACGGCTCTCACAAGCAACGTGCAGCTTTTCAGCCTACCAATTTTCTGTATTAGAGGACTCTCATATACCAGACCTGTCAGAACATTCTAAGTGTTTCTTTCTTGCTTATTATTAACCACAAGTATAGCTCCACTAACTTGAGTAATATGTTTATCAAATCATCGATTACCTACTAAGCAGTAGACATTAGGCTAGCTATTTTACACGCGCATTTAATACCTCTATTTTATGGCTCTGAGATGTTAAGGAAGTTGCCTAAACTCACAGCAAGCTAAATAGTTACATCAGGCCTGGGAGGCTCCCAAACTCACACTCACTCTGCTGCGCCACAGTACCTCACACTTCCTTTACTTGGCTTCCAGAACACCACTCTATCTTGGGTCACTTCTTTCACTGGCTGCTCCCTCTGAATCTTCTTTACTGGCCCCTCCTCATCTTGCCCACCTCTTTGGAAGTGGCCCAGATCTCAGCTCTCAAACCTCTTCTCTAAACACTCTAGAGTGACCTCATACTCTCACGGCTTTAAATACTACCATACGCTATCAAGAAGCCCTGCTGGCACAGTGGTTAAGAGCTCAGCTGCCAACCAAAAGGTCGGCAATTTGAATTCACCAGTCGCTCCCTGGAAACCCTATGGGGCAGTTCTACTCTGTCCCATAGGGTTGCTATGAGTCGGAACTGACTCGACGGCAACAGGTTTGGTTTATATGCTATTAAACCCCCATATTTATACCTCCAGTCCAGTTCTCCCCTCTGAAGTCCAGACTCATACATACAACTGCCTGTTCAACACCTTGATTTTAATGTCTAAGGAGGCATCACAAACTCTTTCAGTCTTCCCCATCAGGTAAACAGAACTTCATCCTCTGTTGCTCAGGCCAAAAAAACTTGAGTTAAAACTTGATTCTACATTCTACTCTCCTCCAAGAGCAAATCCTTTGTCTCTCCCTTCAAAACATATCAGAATCCAATCACTCCTCACCACTTCCACCTCTACCATCCTGGTCCAAGACACCACTGTGTCGCTCCTGATCACTGCAATGGATTTCTAGTTGGTCTCCCTGCTTCTGCCCTTGATCCCATCTCCTTCCTCCTCACTGTAGCCAGGGTGATCCTGAAATTACATCGTATCTCTCCCTTGTTAAAAATCCTGCCTTACTACAAGGAAGCCAAACTTTTTACAACGGCCTCAAGGGCCCTGCTTGTTCTGGCCCCCCACTAACTCTACGACCTTGTCTTCTACCACATTCCCTTCCTCACTCCATTCCAACCACGACAGTCTCTTTGCTGCTCCTCAAACATGGTCCCATCTCAGGAAATCTGCACTGGCTATCCTCTGCCTCAGGAGAAAGATGTGGCTGGCAGTCTGCTTCCGTAAAGATGACAGCCTTGAAGACTCCATGCGGCAGTTCTACTCTGTCCTACAGGGTCGCTGTGAGTCAGAATCGACTTGATGGCATGGGTTTTTTTAATGTTCTTCCCTCAAATATGCAGAGGGGTCAGTCACTTACTTCCTTCAGGTCCAGTGTCATCTTATAGGAATGCTTTCCCTGCATATCCTATATAAAATAGTAACAGCCCTAATCATACATGCATTCCCCAACACTTAGCCTCTTTCCTCCAGCTTGTTTTCTCAAAGCAGTCAAACACTCTCTGACGTATGGCAATTTCTGTTATCTGATTGTCCACTGTCTGTCTCCACCCAGCTAGAATGTTGAACAGGGATTTTTGTCTATTATTTGGCTCATTACTACTGTATCCTTGGCTCCTAGAACTTTGTTTGGCACATAGCAGGCACTCAAATATTTGTTGAACAAATAAAAATACAGAAATTAATCCACCACTGTTGATCTTTTATATGACGTAAAAACATTTCCGCATGAAAACTATTCTTGGCAATTCTATGTGAATGTGCTAGTCTGTTAAGTAACTAACTACACGCAGATTACTCGAACTCAGTTTAACATGACAAATCTTTTTTTCACTTATTATTAACGCTTGGCGTCTCAAACATAAACTTTATTGATAACCTCACTTTTTCGTTTCCTGATTTCTAGGATTAGCGATTATTTACACTTAGAGTAAGGAAGCCAAAAAATCAATTCTTCTTCCTCAAAAAAATAGAAAAACCAAAATAGTTTAGAACAAAGGTTGGCAAACTTTTTGGAAATGGCTAGTAGTAAATATTTTAGGTTTCGTGGGCCACATACCACCTCTGTCTTTTTTTTTTTTTTTTTTAATAACCCTTGAATAAATGTAGAAACTCCTGGACATACAGAAAGAAGATACAGGCTGGATGTGACCCACAGGCCACCGTCTGCCAACCCCTGCTTAAGAGAAATGTCCTGAGTGCTTAGCCTGGTGGTTTGCATAAGGATGAGGCACATCCTACGTGTACCTAAGAAAGACGTAAAAAGCAGGCAACTATGCATACACCATGGCAGGAAGACAGACAGTGCTCAGACTTTTTCTGAGTTTTAAGAGTACAGCTTTGTTACAGGTTTGAAAAACTTATACTAGGATGAACATTTTAAAAAATATTTCAGAGCAAAACAGTAAGTGGCTTCTGAATAATCCTTCTGATACTAAATTTCCTTCATAAATTAATGGCTGACTCCACCACATTTAGAATATCTTCAAAATATAATGAAAATCAAAAGCAGTACCTCATACAGAAACATATGCTTAGACTCTTAACATAATTTTCTTTAAAAAAAAAAGGGGGGGAACCCACAAAGTTTTTAGACTTCTCACCTGCTACAATGTTCCCAGAACGTGCCACAACCTTGAATCCATCGGCTACTTTGTCTACACTATCTCCATGTGTAAGCAAAACGATTTCTTCCTTCTGAAGGCCCCTAAACATGCAAAAATTAAAATGCAACAAATACCTGAAAGATATGGTTATTGGGTTCTTTTGCTTTAGAAATGTAAGTTGCCATACGTCTAGAACAGAAAAATAGAAAAAATCATGTAACAGTACAGCGTTGCTAGAATTTAAATTCATTCTGTCCATTATAAAAATAGAAAATTAAACCCCAAAAAATGCAATCTGTGAAAAGTGAAAATGGAAACAAATAAATATATGAAGTTCATATACCACACACACAAAAAGAAAAATGTCAAGAGACTCTAAAACAATAATTTCAGCATTGTATCTCTACTGGGATTCAACTCAAGAACAAAAGGCATTTCAAAGATCTTATACTTCACTCAATTGTAAGTCCCGCGCCATCCTCAATTGTAAGTCATGTTAGTAGTAACAGTAATACTGATAGCTATTTTGCGGCTATGATATGAATAGTACAGTTATTTGTATATTGTGTTGTTGTGCACTGAGTCAATTTTGACTAATATCAACCCTACAGGACAGAGCAGAACTGCCCCATAGGGTTTCCTAGGCTGTAATCTACAGGGTTCCTATGAGTTGGAATCATCTTGATGGTACATGTTTAATCTTCACGGGAGCAGATCTCCAGGTTTGCTCTCCCAGAGTCGCTGGTGGGCTCAAACCGCCCAGCTGTGGGTTAGCAGCCCAGCACTTAACCGCTGTGCCATCAGGGTTCCTTTTGGATATTGCAGGTTAAAACAAACAACTTATACAATTAGGAATCAAGATTTTCAGCTTACGAATAAGGAGATACCAAATCAAAAGAGATAAAAACCCTATAATCTTTAATTTTATTTTGAAATAATAGTATGCACTAATGATCTTGTTTTCTTCCTAAGAGAATACCTATTTCCTAAACCTCTCCATTGAAAAGAGCTACGAACAATGGCAACCCAGCAACAAGTTAGGCCTCTGTTGTTGCTGTTAGGTGCTGTTGAGTCAGTTTCGACTCACAGTGACCGTATCTACAACAGAACGAGACCCTGCCTGGTCCTGTGCCATCCTCGTGATTGCTGTTATGCTTGAGCCCGTTGTTCAGCCACTGTGTCAATCCATCTCATTGAGGGTCTTCCTCTTTTTTGCTGACCCTCTACTTTACCAAGCATGATGTCCTTCTCCAGGACTGATCCCTTCTGATAACACATCTAAAGTATGTGGAACATAGTGTCGCCATCCTTGCTTCTATGGAGCATTCTGGCTGTACGTCTTTCAAGACAGATTTGTTCGTTCTTTTGGCAGTCCATGGCATATTCAACATTCTTCACCAACACCATTACTCAAAGGCGTCAATTCTTCTTCGGTTTTCCTTATTAACTGTCCAGCTTTCACATGCATATGGGGCGAATGAAATGAAAATACCATGGCTTGGGTCGGGCGCACCTTAGTCCTCTAAGTGACATCTTTGCTTTTCAACACTTTAAAGAGGTCTTTTGAAGCAGACTTGCCCAATGCAATGTGTCTTTTGATTTCTGGACTGCTGCTTCCATGGGTGTTGATTGTGGATTCAAGTAAAATGAAATCCTTGACAACTTCAGTCTTTTCTGTTTATCATGATGTTTGCTTATTGGTACAGTGGTGAGGACTTTTGCTCCCCTGATGTTGAGGTGTAATCCACACTGAAGGCTGTGGTCTTTGATCTTCTTCAGTAAGTGCTTCAAGTCCTCTTCACTTTCAGCAAGCAAGGTTGTGTCACCTGCATGACTAAGGTTGTTAATGAGTCTTCCTCCAATCCTGATGCCCCATTCTTCTTCATACAGTCCAGCTTCTCAAATTATTTGCTCAGCATACAGACTGAATAAATATGGTGAAAGGATACAACCCTGACGTACACCTTTCCTGACTTTAAACTATGCAGTATCCTCTTGTTCTATTTAAATGACTGCCTCTTGATCTACGTACAGGTTCTGCATGAGCACAATTAAGTGTTCTGCAATTCCCATTCTTCGCAATGTTATCCATAATTTGTTAAGATCCACACAGTCAAATGCCTTTGCATAGTCAATAAAACACAGGTAAACATCTTTCTGGTATTCTCTGCTTTTAGCCAGGATCCATCTGACATCAGCAATGATATCCCTCATTCCACCTCCTCTTCTAAACCCAGCTTGAATTTCTGGTAGTTCCCTGTCATTGTACTGCTGTAACCGCTTTTGAATGATCTTCAGCAACATTTTACTTGCATGTGATATTAATGATATTGTTCAATAATTTCTATATTTGGGCGGATCACCTTTCTTTGGAAGGGGCATAAATATGGAGAGGTAGACCTCTAGTGCCCAACAAATTAATGGCATTTAAGAAAGAAGGAGGGAGAGCTATTACAGATTAAGAGAGATGTTAAGTGACGTTAAGTGAATGCAGTGTGCTCTTTTTCTGGACCCTGATTCAAACAAGTCAACTGTAAAAATATATTTTTTACATTACAGGAAAATCTGAGGACTACATGTTAAATAACATTAAGAAATCTAAAATTAAATTAAAAACAGATGTTTTAGGACTTTGGTGTTGCCATCACTGTTGTTCAGGATTAGTGCAGGTTGTAAGTCCCAGAATTTTGGCACTAGAAAAACAGGAAAAATGTAAATCTTAACCAGATCTTTACTTGTAAAGTCTCCTGTAATATTATACACCTTCCTTAACCATCAGCCAGATTCCTGAAGCGGTCTCAGGACTAGTACTGGAAGAAAGAGGAATGTTAGCAGCACCTCTCTGTCACAAAATGGAACAAGGATTGGATTTCAAATGTATTCTGGCAATGAACAGCTTCAGTTGGTAATATTATTTCATGAAACCTTAGCTGTTTTTTCTTATTAATATTCCTTTTAAAAGATGAGAATCCTTAGAAAGAGCTCTTCTATTTAATTCTGTCCTTCTTTCATGGTGTAGAAGAGTCAACCATAGCCAGTTTTAGGTAAACACTGGGATTGTATCTCCAATTCAGATAAAGTAAGATCGAGACTTGGATTTTTTCAAATTTCTGATGTGTCAAATTTGGAGTAAACCATTCATTAAAAATTAATTTGGGCACAAGTCAAGTATGCCTTTAAGAATATGTCAATATACTACATAAACCTGTAACTAAAAATAATCAGCACAGCTAAACGGAATGACGCTGTTAAGTCATTAGGTTTGCTCACTGACAACAGGCTGAATTTTCAGACTTAGTGGAGGTAGGGGAAAATGTAGTTTTAAAATAAAAATAAAATTCAGGTTTAAAAAAAAAAAAAAGGCAAGGGAGTAACTCCCCAGTAGTCTACCAAAGCGTTAAAAAATTCAAAAAAACAAAGAAGTGACTAAACATAAGGTTTCTGTCTTTCAGAAAATGGAATGAAAACTTAAGTTTTGTCATTTTTAAGCCAAGAAGATAAATGATTATTGAAAGCTAGAGAACAGCTCATTCATCAATTTTTAAAATAGATTAGAGCCATAGCCTGTTTAACACCAAGAAATAAAACAAACAATACATTCATTGTATTAAAAAGATTGTACACCGAAGTCCAGTTCTGCCTCACTACAGAGACGCTGAGGGGGAGGGAAACACAACACGTACTTAGTAAAGAGTCCAGCCAACGGGGGGCTTTCTAGGGACCCAGCAGGAAAGTGGTGGAGGAAGAGGCACGCGCAGGGCAGACACAGAGCAGTTTAAAACGTCAGCCATTCGCCATACCGGGCACACTAATGTACAGAATCACACTCCACCAGAGAGTGAAAAGGGAAATCTACAGATGGGAGCATCCCAGCTACAGTCCCATAGAGGGTGCCAAGACTGCACAGGTGCCTTCACGTTACTGCCTAAGTGCTTTCCTTATTCCTCATTAGCATCACTGTCCTCAGCTGACTTGACATTTAACTAGGAGGCATGTATGGTCACGGTCATTACACTTGTGGTCACTATTGTGGCCTTAGTCTTGCCTAAGAATTACAGAACCTCCAGTTTTACAGACTAATGGCACCACTTTACATGAGCTAATCCGCTGCCATTCTTCCTCATCTACAAGGAACCATCATACCTGAACAACGAACAGGTGTTATCCACACTAATGCTGAAGACTCCGTCTTCTCTAACAGTTTTTTTGTGAACCGTACCTCCAAATACTTTATTCATCATCTGTTCAAAGAGAAAATAAACTGATGTTAACAGAATACAGCCTAGAAAAACACCCAGTCATTTTCTTAGGCTGACTGAACAATTTCTATTACCTGTTTTCAGGATACCTGTTATATTTGTGCCCAAAACCCAAAGGGAGTTTAATAAACATAGATAAGCTAGCATTATTACCTATAATTATACAGTTATTAGGAGGCATGGTTATAAAACAAAACTGGATTAGAAATCTGACCTGAGATTAATTTCTGTTAATCATGGACAGATTTTCCATTTAGTGTACCTCAATCAATTCATCTGTTAAAAAGAGATTTCTTTAACACTTACATCTGAGTTTAATTTAAAAGCATTTTAAAAGACACTGTGAACTATTAAAACCTTAGAAAAAGCTAGGTGGACAACAAGAAGAGCTATGGTCCCAACACTAAAAAACCAAACAAACCCATTGTCCTCAAGTTGATTCCAACTCACAGCGACCTACAGGACACAGCAGAACTGCCCCATGGGGTTTCCAAGAAGGGGCTAGTAAATTCGAACTGCCAACCTTTTGGTTAGCAGCCGACCTCTTAAACACTGCACCACTAGGGCTCCTGTACCAGGACTATACAGGTATAAGTTACTCCGAACTATTTAATCTTTCGCTACAAAGAACAGTCTGAAAGCCTGCATGAGGCTGTGCTGTGGAAACAGGATAAGCAAGAAATCTGGACTCATTTGTTCAAATCCCAGACTCCTACAGACTCTTATATTCCAAATGGTCTCTTCATTTCGCCCCTCCTTGTGTCAATCAACTTTCTTTTCTTATTCATCATTTACGTATGCCCCCAAACTCCCACACCAAACAAACAGACACAATTTTCCAATATAGTATCTGCACTGATGCAATCACTTCAGCTCAGCTTGGTACGTATGCTCCACAACACGTGTCATGGGATGCCTGCTGTAATGATGCCTGATGCAGGCTGACCCAGCACCCAGCAGAGAGAGCTGGGTAGACGTTCATCCTTACAATTAACAGTGGCATATTCTTCAAAACCAGCAACAACTGCTGCTTTCTGTATTCTCAGACATTCACAATCAACTTCACCACAATCAAGGTTGGGCAAGTCCAGTAAAGAAACCTGATGCCCTTTGTTTAACACAGTATTTCCCAAGCTGAAAAGTTACACCAAACACTTTCTGCAGCACATCTGTTCACATACAGTTTAGGGAACACTGCTGCCACACAATCATCCCCTGGCCTCTGTCCTGCCCGTGTCCAGTCTACGCAGACTCTATACATCTACCAAGGTCAGGTAGTAAAATGCAAATATCATTGTGTTCGTCCAAGATTAAATTCTTCACTGGCTAGGTTCTAGTGTCTACAACAGGGATTGGCAGACGTTTTCTAACAGGCCGGAGAGTAAATATTTTCGCCTTAGCAGGCCTGACTCTTCATACCTGTCTCTGCAGCAACTGTTCAACTCTGCCACGTGGCGCAAAAACAGCCACAGACAACTACTTAAAAAAGTGGGCATGGCTCTTTCCCAATAAAACTTTATTTACGGACATGAAATTTGAATTTCATATAATTTTCAAGTATCATCATTCTGGTTTTTAGTCTTTTCCAATCACTTACAAATATTAGAACCATTCTGTCTGCAGGTGCTTACAAGCACAAGCAGCAGGCCGGACTTGGCCTCCAAGCTGTACTTTGCTGGTTCCTAATCTACAGGACAGAGTCCAAGTCCTTTCTACTGAATACAACACTTTCCACTGGGTGGGCTCTACCTAATCTTTGCTTTCACTGCCCAGCTTCCCCCCATTCTCTACGCCAGTGATTCCAAACTAGTATGATTACAAAAACAGACCACGTTCTCTCTCCCATGCCTTCTGGCCTCTTCACAACCCCTGGGATCTAGCAAAGTATGAGGCTTAGAGCAGTCACTCAAGTGTGCTGAATGAAAAATGAATGCCTTTTTATCTTCAATGAACATTGTCTACCTCTGCCTCCCCTAATTTGCAGCCCTTAATTAGAAGACAGCTGAAAGATCAAAATAACCTAAGTTGTTGGTACTCTATATAAATTAAGAGTCCAAAATGTCTAACTGAAGGCCTCCACAAATCTAAGGAGCCTACAGTAGAATTTAAAGTTATCTCACCTGCTAAGGCAGCTTTTGTGCTTATTTTTTGGTTCCCGACTATGTTACTTCAGGTTGAAGGTGCAAGGAGTTGAGCATCCAGCTGAGTTTATGTTTGAATAAAACAATGTACTTTCTTTCTAAATTTTTATTTGAATATTCTATTTTGACTTAAAAAATGGTTTCCAGATGGATTCCTGATAAACTCAAGTGCCTCAAAGAAATCCCAACAGTACTGCAGGTCTACCACCCCAATCAAGTCAGCTCCTCTTTTATCTGTCTTACATGCCAAGGTTTTACGAAATAAGGTTTAGACTGGGGAGTGTGAAAGGGGAGGAATTCTGCTAATAAATATAATTTGAGTAAACCTGGTAGGGGTGTATAAAGAAGCCAAGTGAAACCATTAAGAGTGAACAGACAAGTAACAATCTGGAAGCTATCTCGAATATACATAATCGGCAAAAGTTTAGTATCTAGCATATATAAAGAACTACCACAACATACACACACACACACACACACACACACACACACACACACACACAGACACACAGACACACACAGACACAGACACACACACACACACAGAGACACAGACACAGACACACACACACACACAAAGGCAATTCAATAGAGACATGGTGAAAGTCATAAACTGGCTTTTACAGCAAAGCAGTTACAAATGGTAAATAAACATGAATCTATAACGAGGAAAAAAAAATTTAACACCTCCTCAGACAGGTACACACACACAAAAATCTGACCATGGGTTGACAGGGCTATAGAGCAGAAGACATTTTTGTATACTGATGTGGGAATGCAAATTGGGAGGGAATCAGTCATTACTTAATGAAGCTGAAGATGTGCATGATCCATCCTTTCCATTCCTGGTTAACCTAGAGAAAACTCTGTATGTATAACACCAGGAGACAGGTACAAAAATGTTCATGATGATATTATCTATAATAGTAAAAAACTAGAAGATCACCACCAACAGTGGAATGAACAATTAATTTCTACTATATTCAAACAAGAGCCCTGGTGGCACAATCGTTAAGAGCTCAGCTTCTAACCAAAAGGTCGGTAGTTCAAATTCACCAGCTACTCCTTGGAAACCCTACAGGGCAGTTCTACTCTGTCCTACAGGGTCGCTATGAGTCGGAATTGACTCAATGGCAATGAGTTTGGTTTGGTTTTTTTTGGTATATTCAAACAAGACATTGAATAGTAAAAATGAATAACTTACAATTAAATCAATCAATGTGAATGAATCTCAAAAACAATGTTGAATAAAAATAATATATACAGTATGTTTTCATTTACATAAAGGCAAAAGGGGAAAACTAAATAATGTATTATTTAGGGATATAAACATAAAATAATAAAATCAGGACAGTGTTTACCTCTGGTGGGGAAAAGGAATGTGGAAGAAGAAAGGCATAAAGGAAATTTCAAAAGCTTTGCTAACATTCTATTTCTCACGCTGGCTGGGTGGCAGGAGTAAATGGGTAATGGAGGTAAAAGAGGCAATTGAGCAGGACAGACCTCCTTCTTAGCAGAGAATTACCTAAAAGCAATCAGAAAGGCTGTCGGGAGAGTTCAGTTAGTGGGAGGAGTTGGTACATGAGACACTGAAGATTATTAAAATACCAGAACATCATGAGGGGCAGGAGCACACACTAGAGTGAGACCTTTTGTGCTAAAATGACCAACTATTAGTCACTAAGAAGTGGCAGTCCTTTACAAACAGCCTATTAGCTAGATGGCACCATGTACATCAATACCTTATGGAAAGGCAACAATTTCTATCCAAAGAACCAGTATCAGCTATTGTCCTGCTATGAACGTTCAGATGAAAGGCAAAATATTTTATACATTTAACACACATTTTGCAATCATAAGATACCCTAATCAATTACAGAAACATGTGGCCTTACAATTATATGGGGTGGGGCTGATAATGGGAAAACATGGAGCCACCATCGTTTTAATTAAGGGAGTCTTTTCCAGACTAATTCCACCATAAATGGGTTCTAAAAAGGTATCTTGTGACACTCTTCCTTAAAGTATGTTGTAATGCCTCCCAGTATAATAAAAATCACTTATTTATAAGTTTGTTATATAATCAACATTGACACTCTTGGCAAGGAAGATCAGTAAATTATGTAAATACATTGCATCCCAGAGCAAAGGTATACTAAAGAAAAAAAGTGAGCCAATTTCCAACATTCAACTCCATCAGGATGCAATCTCTTCTAATAAAATATATTTACCTTAGGATACAAAGTGAAAAAATCTAAAAATAACTGTTGACATAAAGTTATTACCTAAGTCAAACTCCATCACTATTTAGGCTTTTCATAGAACATTAAAGCGGGGGGAATCCTTCACTATAAAACACTTACTGCCTAGAGAAGAAAATATGCATGTTTGTAGTTTGTACTTTATATAATTTGAGACAATATTTCCTCTAAATCAAAGTAGAAAACCGTAACAAATAATTAGCAAGAACCAAATCTGATATTGTTGTTTCAGGCCAATGATTTACATGATCCTCTGCTCTGGGTTATCAAGAATAGGATAATAAAAACATTCCCATTCGTAAGTGAACATTGATTTATATTTCCTTCCTCCACAGAAAGCTCCAGAGCCAACAAGAAGAGGAAAATATATTGATTTGTCACCTTCTGCTTTTTAAAATGCTTCCCTTTGTGCAATGTTCATATTAAAGCATAAGTCTCAACCAAATTGTTTTAAAATTAAAAAAAAAAAAAAGACATCCTGCTTTGCCCACTTACTAGACTTTCAAATTGTCCTCACTTCAAGGGCTTAAAACAACTCAACCATTGGGAGAGATGAATACAACATCTTTATTATTAAGCCATACATTCAAGAAATTGAAAATTATCAGGTAATTCTCAGTAATTAATTAGGAAGGATCAGAATATTATGAGGAAATTTAAAACCTTGATATTTTAATTAACATCAATTCCATTCTGGTCGATTAGAGTCTCACAATTAGATCAGGTCCACTTCTTATCTGACCATGTCCTTGCCTTTGTGCTAAAGCCAAAAGGTAGGCAGAAGGAAAAAGAGGTCAAGACAATTCTCAAACTGAACAAGTCAATCTGTGTGCATGTATATTAATTTGGCCATTTTTATCACAGCAGAAACCCCTAAGTTAAAAAAAATTAAGGGTCTTGCTTCTGGTACTAACCAGAATACCACAACGGAACACCCTAACATTTCAATTAACTATAATTCAGGGAATACTTTCCCAGCTACTCAATTTTTAGATGCTCTTGTTAAATAAGATATATTATTAAAAATTGTCTTAACTAGACAACAACCACTGATAAAGCTTCTTAAACATCTTTCTATTCCTACCTCGTTAGTAAATAGGTTTTACGGAATAAAATCATTCTTTGGTAAGCGAGAATCTAGAACGCAACTGGCGAAGCACTGTCTTTCTATCATCCTATTCAAGAGCCCTGGTGGTGCAGTGGTTACGAACTCAGGCTGCGCTAACCAAAAGGCTGGCAGTTAGACTCCACCAGCCACTCCTTGGGAACTCTATGGGGCGGCGCTGCTCGACTCTATAGGGTCACCATGAGTCGGCATCAACTCAACGGCAACCAGTTTGGTGTTTTGTTTTGTTTTTTTTAATTCAAAAAACTATATTCTACTTATCTGATAAACCTATACTATTTAAAAATAAAGTAAGCAAAAAAGGTGTCGGAGCAGCAAAAACAGATTTCTAAACATAAAACTCACAGAGGAGTACCTTATCTCAAGATCTCAATTAGTCCTTATTTATTCTTGTTTTTGATACAACTCCAAGATACACATATTTATTAATGAACTTCACAATGGAAACACCTGGCAGACAAAGGCAACGTCATCGGTAATGGCACAAATGGACATCGTGTGCCTCCCGACGAGATGCTGTAAGCACAGCATCGCTTCTGTGGCACGCCTGCCAAAAACACACAATCTGACTCTAATTAGGAGGAAACAGCAGACAAACCAACACTGAGGGATCATCCACCAAGTGACCAGCCTGTTCGTTTCTAAGAACTGTCAAGGTCATGAAAGACAGAGAAAGACGAGGAACTATTCCAGACTGAAGGAGTCTAAACAACATGCCAGCTAAATGCAACCCACGGTCCTGGATTAGATCCTGGAGCTAAAAAGGACATTTAATAAGACAACAGTAAAATCTGACGGCAGTCTGGATGAAATGCTAACACCGAATCAACACTAACTTTCTGATATCGATGGCTGTATTGTAGTTTTATAAGAGTGTCCTGGACTTGGGAAATAAAACAAGTAACGAGGCATTATGTCTGCAACTTACTCGCAAATGGTTCAAAAATGTTAACAACTAGGGAACTGAATAAAGGTATACAGGAGCTCTGTGCACTATTTCTGCAACTCTTATGTAAATTTGAATGTCCAAGTTTTTTTTAAATGGACAGTGTTTTGTGGTGTGAAGTAGTGTAGTTAAGTTTTCTGAGAATAGATTCCCAGTCAGGTCAGTTCTGCTATACTAGGGTAAACAAACAAACAAAACCAAACCCACTGCCATAGAGTAAAGCTAATAGCAACCCTATAGGTCAGAGTATAACTGCCCAATAGGGTTTTTCCAAGCTATAATCTTTATAGGAGCAGACCTCCACGTCTTTCTCTCATGAAGCGGCTGGTGGGTTTGAACCGCCAACTTTTCACTGCGCCACCAGGGCTCCTTTATACTAATGTAATAACCCGTAATCAGTTGTAATATACACGAATGATCTCATCAGTCAGATATCCTAAATATTCTTAAAGGCAGAAAATACTAACACAGTGTTAAAGTCACAAACCCTCAGGCAAAATAAATGTAAAATAGAATGTAAGTCAACCCTCAGGCAAATCCATGAAGTACCTGCATGCCATAGCAAATTCCGAGAACAGGTTTGCCAATAGTGAATATCGCGGGGTCAAACCAGGGCGCATCTTCTGCATACACGGAATTCGGTCCTCCAGAGATGATGACAGCACTGCGGATTTAAGAAAGGGTCAGTGAAGAATCTCACCCCTACCTCTGACAGAGTCTACGCCTTCCCTCCTGTGCAACACTGACCCACCCACTCCCGTCCAGTCGATTCCGATTCGCAGTGACTCTACAGGACAGAGAAGAACTGCCCCACAGGGTTTCCAAGGCTGTAATCTTTACGGAAGCAGACTGCCACATCTTTCTCCCACGGAACGGCTGGTAGGTTCAAACCACCGACATTTCGTTTGGCAGCCAAGTGCTTTAACCACCACACTACCAGGGACCCTTTGTACCACTGAACCAAAAAAAAACCAAACCCACTGCCACTGAGTCGATTCCAAGGAGCGGTTGTTGGATTCAAACTGCTGACCTATTGCTGTAACCACTGCACCACCAGGGCTCCCTTGTACCACTGAGGGAGACTCAAATACAGAGTCAGTGATTTTGTTAATATTTTCAGTATGCTGGAACAGATCCAGATTCTATCACAGCTTATTAATGCCCTCCTACACAGCTTAACTATTTTTACTCTATTGCAATGTTTGGAAGTCTGTCAATTCAACATTAACTTGTTAATAAGCACCAACTTCCAAATATGTAAATACCAGTGTTCGTATCTGTGAAGGTTAGCGTGAACTCGTCTCTGCTGTTTTCCTCATCAATGGAGAAGTGGGAATTCTGAAGACAGAAAATGTAAGCATTTGGGGCGCCTAGGACACTTAGTTAAATAAGAAAAGCAGGCCACAGAGGATGACATAGAAGGTGTTATTAAGGCCCGGATGGCTCAAAGCAAAATACAACGAAGGTGGCAGAATGCGAAGTACAGATACCTAACTTTGCCTGTTTCAAACCTGTTAACATTCCCAACAGTTTTCCCTGAGGCCCGTGAAAGGAAGCTATATGCCTCAGAACTCAGCCACATTCCACTTTACAGAGCATTCTATCAGTCCAACTAGAGCTGTAAAAGAAGCTACAAACAAAAGGCCTATGTTCCTCAAGGGGCCACTGATAGATCTTATTTGGCCCTTAGCATTTACTGAAACACATTTTAATATTTGCAGATTTCTCTCCCGGACACCCTTTTGACTCTGAACAGAAGTCACTCCCGAGGTTCACCCTTCAGCAAAACATAAGACAGGCCCATAAAACAAAACGAGACTAAAAGGGGCACACGAGCCTGGGGGCAAGGACAAGACGGCAGGAGGGGACAGGAAAGCTGGTAGCAGGGAACCCAAGGTCGAGAAGAGAGAGTTGACATGTCGTGGGGTTGGCAACCAATGTCACAAAACAATATATGTATTAATTGTGTAATGAGAAACCAATATGCTCTGTAAACCTTCATCTATAGTATAATTTTAAAAAAGGTAAAAAAAAATTCCAGACTTCTGGGCTTTCTTTAGGCAAAAATGGGAAGAAAAATCTAGCAACACTGGGCCTTCACCTCTCCATGTTTGCAAACAGTGGGAACTGTGGTGGCAGCTGGTCCCTTCAGACCACACGCACACTCACACAATGTGGCACACTTACAAACTTCACTCAGCTTAGGGTACCCTCCAATCCAACTTCAGTTTGAATCTGCAGAATTCCTGACTTACACTGTATTTCTAAAAGAAAATGCACTCCAAATCTAACCAAATCTGCTTACTAACAAATTTGGATTACAATTCACTTTTTAGTTAATGGCTACCTACCATGTAAAAGCATACAAAATATATTGCTAGGCTTATAATACATCCAGAAGCATAATGTAACAAAAATCAAACTCATAAAAATTACTCAGCAAGCTAGGACATTTTTTAAATTTAGTGAGCTGAAAGGCCCCACCCTTTGAACTTTATATGAGTAACATGAGATATGGTGTATACCAAAAACTAAACCCACTACCGTGGAGTCGATTCTGACTCATCCTGACCCTATAGGACAGGGAACTGCCCCACAGGGTTTCCAAGGTTGTCATCTTTATGGAAGTGGACTGTCACATCTTTCTCCCACAGAACAGCTGGTGGGTTCAAACTACCGACCTTTCAGTTAGCAGCTGAGTGCTTTAACCACTGGCCTCCAGGGCTCTCTATCTCCTACAAAAGAGCGACTGAGGACAACCTACTCAAACAGTAAACATGCATCTTTAAGATAACAACCATAAAGGGCTATGGGGTTAGATCTAAGGGTAGATCTGCAAGTTAGCTCCTCAAAAAAGTAGAAGCTGAAATTCTATACAGCACACTTCATAATCAAAATCGCTAGAAACTCCCTATGTTATATTTAGTTTTATGAAGGATAACCACCGTGAGGCTGCCCAGCAGCCCTCATTAATCTGCTAAACAACCCAAGGCCGTAAGACGCTTAGTGCTGTTTTAAAAAATGCGATGGGCTTAGGCAAGTCTGAAACTCAAGCAGTACTTAAACCAATTAGGAAAATTCTCATCTCAACATATCTTGAGAAGAGCTAATCGTGCTTTATAGTCTTCTATTATATTTCCACCCTGCTATTTTGAAACTAACTTACAATTACCAGGTCCAGTAAGTCATTCTGCTGGCAATTGTGTCAATCAGGCAGTTCAAGGTTCTACAAGCAGGTAGGTTAAGAGGTCCCTAGTGTCACAAAATGAATAATTATTCTAGAAAAAGGGTGATCAAATGGATAGCTCAGCAGAAACGATTACAGTAATAAAAGCACGGTGCTATAGTTCCTATACCCTATTACAGAAAAGAAGCTGTAGGCACAAATAGGGCCTAGCAACTGTTTATGATCAGGTACAAGCACAGTGACCAAAAAAGAAAAACAACTGGACTTCCACTGCCAAGTATTTGGCTACCTATTCCGAAACATTTAGTCTGGGTTAGTTTTCTGGGGATTTGTTTGTTTATCTGGCATTTATTTGTTTTTGGGGGGGAGGGTGGTAGAGCGCAGATCTGACACAGACCAAAAGGCTCCCCATTCCAATTCCTTGCACAGTTCTTTGATCCTTCTCAGGCTGGTTCTCACTAGTAATCAAGACCTCTACTAATCAAGTTCTCACTATTAATCAAGACTGCTACTAATCAAGTTCTCACTAGTAATCAGATAAACCTCACGGTCCCGTCTTACTCTAAAATTCTACAGCTTGAAAAAGACAATTATTTTTATCTGAATCTCAAGACTAGAACAAAATTAAATTTGAACCTGCTTTTTCTAATGTCCAATTCTCTATTTCAGAACTGGGGGCACAGTGGCTAAGAGCTTGGCTGCTAACCAAAAGGTCAGCAGTTCGATTCCACCAGCTGCTCCCTGGAAACCCTATAGGGCAGTTCTACTCCGTCCTGTAGGGTTGTTATGAGTTGGAATCAACTCATCGGCAATGGGTTTGGTTTGGTTTATAATTCCAGAACTAAAAAATCACAGGATAATGAATATATATCTATGAAGTCTTAAAAGTTTCTTTTACCTATTTTCCCACTGGAAAAAAATTATGTTTTAAGAAAAATAAATCATATTTTGGGAGAAGCACAGCATGTCTAATATTAAGGTTTAAGAGCAGTTAGGGACAAAAATTGCAGTTGCTTGCCTCTGAAAAATATTTTTAATAAAGAAAGAACATTAATTCCATAAGAAAAGGTAGAGCTTTAACTAGAAATAGCTGTTAAAGGAAGAAACACAAGCTTAAAATCAATATAATTGCATAATATAATTAATATAAGAATTATCTTATGTTAGCCACAAGAAATCTCTCATAGAAGCTAGACTAGCGATCAAGAGGCTCATCTAATACAGAATTCCTCTCTTTTGAGTACTCTACTCAACTTCTTGCGTATTTTCCTTTGATTAAAAGCTTTGCAATGAAAGAACACATGACCATAACAGCTCCATCTAACTCCTAGGAAACATCAAACACTCAAACACTACGTTCTTATAATTGTGCAGTTAAAAGTAAGGTAACCTTCTTAACTGAAAAGCTTATGCTTCTTCTTTAATTTTTTTTCATCAGAGCCATGGGAAATTTCTTGTAAAACAGTTGCGTATCTTATTTTCACAGAAAAATCCAGTGCCCGAGCAAATTAATAATAAAATACCCGACAATCTAAGCTTAGTCTCTTCAGGAAAACATCAGTGAAAAGCCTACCGGAATCCTTGCTCTTTGATGGCGAATGCCGGTGTCTCCAAGGGGAAGATTTCCGACTGCACGAACAGCTCCCTCACCCTTCGGTCTATGACTTTCCCATACTGAGCGCCAGCATCCAGGATGACTACAGCTCCTTCGTAGGTGTGGTGGCCATCCTTAAGGTCTCCACCAGCATTTTCCAGCTGCAAATATTAATACAAACAGCTTCTTAATTATGAAGATTAGACCTATTTTTTTAAAATGGTGGGTTACTGTCTGCTCCAAAAATGCACAGAAACAAAAACTATTAACTTAGGACTTTCTAAGTTACCAATTCAAAACACTCCTTTTAAAAGGAAGATTTTAATACATACCCACACAAGGCATACAGAAACACTTAAACTGAATAAAAGCTACCATTTATTGACCACATTAGACAGACAGACAGACACGCGCACAGACACACACATACATACACACACACACACACACACACACACACACACACACACACACACGGTACTGAAAACTTCACGTGTCTTATCTAATAATACAGTGAACGTACAACTCAGTTTTTCCAAAATATAGTCCTAGTTTATGTCTGTTAATCCGGCATTATTATTACTAGTGTCCCCTTTGAATCTCAAGTGTCCCAGTTCAGACAATAACTTCTACGGTTGTCCTACTGTCACAGCATTCCTATGAGGGAGGTACTAGGAGGACACTAAATGCTTTGTTGCTGGAGTATATCCACGTACAAATTAACCATATTCAGGTTTTTTCTATTACCCGAGAAAAATGATACATATACATATGCATCTAAGCCAAACCACCAAGAAAATTTTTTTTAATTTCTGTTGCGTACACTGATAACACTTCACTGAAAACCAGTTTTGCGAAATGTAAAATTTTTAATTAGGGGTGCTGAAATATTAACCTGGAATTGGCTTCAAAATAATGAAAGAGGGAGTAGGTGTGCATAAAGGAAACAGGACTGACCATGTATTGAATCACTGAAGTTGGATGATAAGTACAACATGTTCATTTTACTAGATCAGTCTCTATTTTGTTGTAATTTTTTTTCTTTTAAATTGTACAACATAAAAAGCTTTAAAATTTTGTTTATACCCTGTAAATCCACTTCAAGGAAGCATGTATAATATGATTCCATTTAGCTATATTTTGTGTAAAAGTGCAAGAGTAAACGCACATGTATGAAAAACAAAAGAGTGGATGAATACATACCAAATATCAACAGAAGCTGTACCCGAGTGACGAAACTACAGGCGATTTTTAAAAATTTTTCTCTAAGTGTAAAATCTGTCACACAAAAAATGTTTAAGCCAGTCTTTCAGCCACTTGAGTAACCCTTTCCATCCCTCTCCCCTCTCCGTTTACCTGCAAAAGTGAATGCAGACCTTGCCTACAACACCATGGCCACTTCATCTGCAATGAAGGAAAAGCAATTATCACAGCCAACTACAGACGAGGGCTCTAAAAGGAACCTAACCGTAGGCCAGAAAGAGTTACTCAGATCACAAAAAGGAAGGCATTAGTCACATGGACATTCAACAACCTATAAAATTCAAATCATACAAACACGCAGAAGCTTAGAGAACATGTTATTAGTACAAAAAACACTAAAGCTTTCTCCTTTCAGAACTCTGCCCTTAGTCTGAGTACACACACACACACACACACACACACACACACATTCCCTTTAAGGAATCTATTTTTTTAGATGTTCAAAGTATGTTTGAAAGACTACTACATTATCGTATAAACTTCTCAGACTCAGAACCATTATCATCTTCACAGTTTTCACCAAATGCAAGTACAACCTGTTTTTTTAACATTACAAGCCAAACTCTCAGTTTGTATGATTCTGATTTGCACAAATTTCACTTACCATGGTTTATACCATGATGTAGTTAACGAACACCAATCCCCAACAACACAGCTCAAATTTCGGTTACCATACAGTAACCGTGAATAACTGCATGAAGTACGAAATGCTGCCAACTCTTCGGCCCACAAATCACTACACCAATAACAAATGAGCATCATGATCAGTGACCAGTCCTGCCCCTTTCTTTCAAAGACTTTTAGTGATTACTCACTACACAACAGACAGCAAAGCATGCAGCAGTGCTGCCTCCTTGACTACCAATGATAAAACACAAGATAGGGAAAATCCAAAGGATTGGCCAAGAAAGATGAAAGGACAGCAAAGAAATGAAAAGTGACAATTCTGGAAGAATTAAATTAAGTTATAGAAGAAATCGCTGAAGTGGGAACGTTGACAGTGTCCCCCATTGGAGAAACTGCTGACAGAATGTTGACGCTGTTCACCATTTGAGACTCCAGATATGCGCAGCCAGAAGAATGTGGTGGAGGGGAAGTTATCAACATAAACGAGGAAAGAGGCTGGAAAACGATGAAGATGTCCCAGAAGTGACACGTGCAAAAAACTTTATATTAAAGGAATTCTTGGAGATAAACTCTGCAACACTGAGAGCACAACAATGTGAAATGCTGGACTCCGCCGCGGCACAGAAAAGATGCACAGGTAAGCACTGCTCGAAGTACTTTGATAAATTTTTTACAGAGAAATAAGACACTTCAATTTTCAATGTTTCTAATGTTTTAAATTATACTATACTAAATAAACATAAGTTTTAGTATTTCTCTATCCTTTTATAACAGTAAGAGTTTTTAATATTTTAACAAAAAAATGTAAAGGTTACAAAAACCATTGTAACTTCTCCACTGATTATTAAGATCACTTTGCCCAGTTGCAGCATGCACAGTCATTTTTATGGTCTGTCATGCGAAGTAAGGACTGTCTACATTTCTTTAAATAATGTTTACTCAAATGTATTTTTAAAAATTTTTTTTATACTTTTTTAAATAATTTTTAAAAACGTTCAACCACGTGACACTTGAGGTCACTGAGTAAATACTATGGATCCTTCCTTACACCTCACTTCTTTCTGCCTCAGCTATTAACCCTGCCTATCCAGCACACAGACAGCTTCAACAACTCGGGGGAAAGCAAAAAGGCCCCCAGTAATATAAACAAAGTTCCTTCTCCTCAAGAGCTTGAATCTATTTATTCCCCTTCACACACAGTTATAAAGTTTAATAATGAGACTTCCAAATCTTCGGCAGGTCAGAAAAGTACACTAATGGAAGAAAAAAAGGGGCTAGATGGTCCTATGAACAGTAAGGACAGATGAAAGCCAGTATCACAAGACAGAAAATCTATTACACCTATTTATAAAACTTTAAAAGACAAAAGCCTAGAGGTTTAAGGCTAACACCCCTCAACAGCCCTGAGATCATCATAATAAAATAAATGATGTTCGTGAAGATACCTTTTGAGGTCTCGAGAAAAGAACACATAGAAAACAATAAACTGTATTCAGCACCCTACTAAAGAAAAAGGTCTAAGAGGGATGTGGCAGATTCTGGGAAGGGAATGACACTGTTTGGGGATCTTCCTGAATCTTCGCATGATCACTGACCTAGAGAGCAAAACCAAAAACATCAAGGGCATTTACCATATAGCTAGATGACAAGTTATCCCCCCTAAGAATCCCAAAACACAAATGGGTAGAAACAAATCACCACAGCCACAAACCCTGAGGTTATGACAGCTACGTGGGAGAAACCAGACAGAAGCAACCAAGACAAGAGAATTCCAACACAGGGGAAAGCACAGCAGTCTGGGAACAGCAGCTGCACTAGGAGGTCAGTCCACTCCCATAGTGGGGAGGTGGCAAGGGACCCACAGTAAGGCCTAACGGGACCAGAGTGGTGAACTCTCAAAACTGGTCCAGCAGGGCGCCTTCCAGGACAGGGCCTACAATGAGGAGCGACCACTAGGAACAAAATCAACCTGAGCAAGGCGGGGACAACGGGCAGGAAACGAGGAGGCCCAGACCAACAGAGGGCAGGGAAACAGAGCTGCTGTATTTTTAACAAGCTGCTATCTTTTTAAGAGAAGGAACTCTCTAAGTTATGAAAGCTATCTGAACTAAGCTTCCTTCTAAAAGCTCAGGAACACTAAATTCACATAAAAAGAGAAACAGAAAGTACAGAAGTCAAGTCCCATACAAAATTACTGAAAGAAAAAGAGAGAATAAGGAACAGAACACCATCTGTAGAACAAGCACAATCTAGAAAGACATACTCAAAACTGGATCAAAACTGGAATGTAGTATTTCTAAATGAGTTACTAAAAAAATTATACAAGGCATAAGAGAACATGAATTAAAATTAGACTACAAACCAAGAATCACCAATCCCATACATATTCTAATGAAAATTACTGAGCTTTAAAGGAAAATTCTGGACATTTTGGATGAAAAGAGTACACAATTTATTATTCCCTAAACCATACATTTGTTTTGTGTAGTTGTCTATATTTGTGTTTTATTTTACAATCAGATTTTTAAAGTAGAGCAAAGGAAGGCAACATTTATTTTGCAACTATTATTTCACGTGCTTCACATATTTTCTTATTCATAACAATATTTTACAGACAACGAAAATGAGGCTCAGGCCTCAAGTCACTTGCTCAGAGAACACACTGACAAAGGCAGGATGTAAACTTACGTCTTTTCAAGCCACTGAACAATACCACAAAAGGAAAACGGGTGAATACACAATACATTTTTCAGAAGACTGCCTTCAAAGTTATTTTAGATTGTCATATCTTGGTACTTTATTAAAGGGGGTAAGCTTTATCACTTGACATAGTTTGCTAATGTGAACAAAATAATTGTCAGCTGATGCCTGAGGAAAGTACTACTATACTATATAAATGATTCTGGAAATTGAATTCAATACTAAAATTCCTCAGGATGTTGCCCTTTAAAAAGTTCTTTCACTTCAGAAATCTTCAATTATTAAAATAAAAGTTTCAGGATTTAAAGAGTTTTTTTTTTTTTAATCTAAAAAAAAAAAAACACCCACCAACACATATTTTAGTGATCTGGAATACTCAACTACCCAGAATAATCCTTTCATTACCAGATAGCTCACTGAAAGTTTGATCATATTTACTTATCTAATTTCACCACACCGACAAGTCTGGAACCTTGTGTAATGAACCAAGTATGCAATTTCTGTATGCGTTCTATGACCAGCTGAGTACAATCCCTGGAAAGTAGAGTGGCTTGTTACTCCTAATGGTGTGACTTCC